GCCGCTGCACGGTTCCCCGCAGGCCGTTTGCCCCGTTCTCAGACTGGCTGATCCAGATGCGTCTCGTGACCAAATTGATAAAAGTTTTCTAAAATAAAGGGATTCAAATCTCAGCTGTAGGATCAGAGTCAATCTGCACTTCGAGGATGTTGACTTCGGTCAGTGAAATAAGCAAAAGAAGAGGGAGATTTTGCTTGTTAATAACTTTGTAGCTGTTGAGGCCGACCACTGTGAAGGCTCCCGAGTCATGTGAGGAATGAAATCTGTGTCAGGTGTATCTTGAAGACCTCACGTTTCCCTGAAGTGCCTATAATCAGATGCAGACTTGAAGGCTGGAAAGACTTACATGTGTAAAGAATCAGCATCTATTCATGATTTTAATACTGGTGAGATTTAGAAAATCTAGAGTAAACGTCAGCTTATTTTTAGTTGCTAAGCATCTTGGCAGGCAGATTGGTTATGATGTGACTTTGCCATCCATGACACGTTGGAGTTGGAAAGGAGATAAAAGATTAAGTAGCAAGGAAGTGAGAAAGATACAAAAGGAAATACAGTTAATGAGCATTAGGACATTTCCAGATATTCTGTGACTCTGTAGCCAAGCCCATAAAATGTTAATTTAGTGAATGATTTCAACAAGTTGACAGAAAAGAAGCTCCTATACAAGAAGTCTCCAGTAAAGTTTAACCTCTGTTTTACAGTGAGCAGCTGAATTGGAGCCAGTCTCACAAAGATATGATGATGATGATCCAAGAAATGAAAAGGTGTTTGCCTGAAGAGAAAAGGAGTTCCAGCAAGCCCAGTACCATCAGTGCTCTCAACTATGCCTTGCAGTGTGTCCAACAGGTCCAAGGTAAGTGTGGAAAAAATCTGTAAGTGTAGAAGCTGTATAGCAGCTTGGTTGGAGTAGACGTGTCTGGCAACAAATAACATCAAAACAAATTGAAGCATTACAGTTATCCTGCAAACAGTTGACTTTCTGAAGCACTGTGGGTTGGTTTTTTTTTTTAGATAATCGTGTTCTCTTTTCTGTTGAAATGCGTACCTACTGCATCTCTTTTCTTCAGAATCCCATAGCTAATAGGTGCCTACTAACTTTCTGTGTATATTGTAAACAACAGCCTTCCCATCCCACTTCGAAAAATTATTGGATAGTCAGTGTGTTTCAAGAGAACTAGGTAGCCAAAATTGTTTTTTTGTTCTGTCCTTTCTACTTTTTCATGCTCATTTTCTGCGACATAGATAGGTCACTGCAGCAGTATAATCAGTATTCCTTTTTCCTTTGTCACTACACAGAACTTCCTCATCTCACCTTGGACTTCACCAAAAAGATGACAAAAGTACAAGGGCTGTAAGAAATACTTTCAAAGTAGTCTCCTTACTGACTTCCTTGTGTTTGTTTTGCTTTTCCTGTTTTTTTTTTTTTTTTCAATTAGCAAACAATGACTTTTTCCAGGCTCTGAATGACCGAAGAGTGTTTCAGACAGATGTGGTGACGTACAGCATAGAAGAGTTGGTGGCAGTTGCATCTGAACACACTCCAAAAAACACTGTAAGGAATTCAGGCATGCTCAGGGAGTTCACCACTTGCCATTTCACTCGTTATTTAGTCTCCTTACATCATTTTGTGGAAATAGAATGTGTAAAATTGAAAAGCTTTTAAATTTTAGCCAGACATGCCTTTGTGTTTTTGAAGGCAGGTCAAGACTATTTCTTATCTGTGCAGACTCAGGGTACCCAACAGTAGTAAGTGAAGAAATACCTGTTTTTTTCTTGGGTTTTTTTTGCTAGAAGCAGCTATTATCTCTTTGAGAGTCTTATTTGATAATTCATTTACAGCATAGTAAACTCTCAAGACAGACTTAACAGAATGTTTTCAAAGCTGTTCAAGTCCATAGTTGTGAGGGAGTTTGGTTTCTATTTGTACCCTTGGATGTATTTTTTTTTTCTTGATTTGCAGTATGTGTCATGCTCTCTGGCTTTGCTTCAGAGAAGAGAGTGTTTCTTGAGATTTAGTGCTGTTAGATGCTGTATCAGAAATACTGCAAAAGCATTCTACTTGAAAAGTTCTCAGAATATTTTTGTATGTGGAATTGTGGTGAATACTCTGAAATTTGAGGAGAAGTGCATGGAGCGATAACCAGTCATTCTGGACAATGGCAAGCATCACTGTAATCTGTTTCAGTTTTGATATTGCAGTCTTATTAGCATTTGTAAATCATGAGTAAGCTACTATAGCTTTGGAGATTGTAGTACCTCACACAAAACTTTAATTGGACATTAACTGAAGAACCCATTTTTGAACCTCTCCTTTAGGGTGGAGTGTGTGGTGGTTTGGGATTTGTTTAGTTGGTTTGGGGTTGTTTTTGTTTTGGTTTTTTATCCCTACAGTATTGCTACCATGTTTTGGGGGAGGCTTGCCTTTAACAATGTTTGTTTTTCAGGACACTTTTGTGGCTGTGTTTTCCTTGCTTTCGGGACGCATAGTGCATATTTCTGAGCAGGCAGCATCCATTCTAAACTGTAAGAAGAAAGTGTTGGACTCATCCCGGTTTGTAGAGCTGCTTGTCCCTCAGGATGTGAGTGTGTTCTACACACATGTCGATCAGTCCCACCTGCCGCTTTGGAACATGGAAGGTCAAGCAGGTGGGACTTGGCAATGCTCTTAAACACTTTATCTGTCTTTCTGTCTTTGCAGAATGAGGATAGAATAGTTGTTCATTTTAAATGCTTATGCTTTAGCATTAGCTGACTTGCTGTTTAGTGCTGGATGTGCCTAAATGGTGCCTTTTGAGTCCTATGTTATTTGTGAGCAATTGAAGTGAAGGTCACATGCCAAGGCCATGTCTTGTGCCCACCTTGTCATGGGACTGTTCAGGCATCAGGGCTGGGAAGTTCAAAATCCTTGCTACCAAAGGATGTGAAACATCAGAGGCTGCTAACGCTGACATGGCAGGGATTCGCCAACTTGTCGTGTGCCTACCCAGCAGAGCAGTGGCACCCCTATGGAGTTTTTGTTATTTTCTTGCTGTGAACTGTTACTGAATTTTCCTCTCCCCTTAACTCTTGGCTATATATAGTTTTTGTTACAGGGCTCATAACATCAGGAACTTTCACCTTTCCTTTCCATAGCGATGCACTGGGGAAAAGAGTTTTTTAGATTGTGTGTGTTTCTTCTGAATTTAGTTCCAGGTCAGCCATTTCTCCAAGAGTGAGTGGGCTGGAGAAGAGAGATAGCATTTGAGGCGGGAGCAGACTGTTGAACAGCTAATTCAGTAGCTAATAAAGAGCAGGTTGTGAGACTTCGGTCTTGCTCAGAAAGTCTGGAGAATGTAGAGTTTAAAACAGTTCTGATAGGTGTGACCTTTTTAAGGATATTGACTGATGCTTTCAATGTGTATTCTTCTTCTTAGCTTCTCTGTATGAATATGCCCAGGTGAAATCCTTTTTCTGCAGGATCAGGCAAGTACATTATTATAGTTTTATGTTTGCAAAGGCTGGGGAGAAGGGTATGGTACTGGCAGAAAGAGTGTACTGTTGTTACCGCTGGCCAGTGTGAGCTCATGGAACGCCATT